GTTGATGTCACTGGACACATCTGCTTGATAGATCAAGAGGCACATATGATGGATTTCCACATGCTGTAGTAAGGAAAATCCATTTTGTTTCTCCAAAGATAAATTTATTGGCTCTGAGTTTCATTCGTGGTACCCTATTGCTTTATGGTGATGGAGTTTTCAAAGTGAATTCCACTAAACTGATAGAGATGAGGAAGCCATTCCTGGATATAATTCATTTATATTTCATCACAGAAGGGAACTCAGATAGAAATGGAGGCTGGGATTCCAATTCCTTTGGCTTATTCATAGAAGCATTTCATTCAAGAAAGCAGTTGCAATGTGATGACCTGCACAATCCATGTCAAATGAACTCTTGTAACGATCTTTTGGCTTTGATTTAGTTACAACCTTGGAACTTATTTGCCACAGTATTCATCAAGTTCTATTCACCGTTTGATGAATTCAGGGCCCTGGCGCATGTTTTGGTTAAACTTAGGGAGAGTTTTAGAGGGTGGGATGGGATTTGTAAGCACAGGAGGAAACTAGGGGCTATGGAAATGTCATTTACAGGATAGCATCAGTGAAGGTGTATATGTCAGGTCCTGCACCCAGAGCTATGATGGATGTGTATGTGGGGAGAGGGGCAGGATTAGGTCCTGTCCTGGTTGGGTGAAGAAGTGAGGCCCTGGGATGGTGTAGTAGGCCAACTTCATCCTGTACTCATCCCATAGTGGCTTCTGACTCCTCCCGATTCCTGGCCCTAATACTGCTAGATACCCTGCATTGAGCTGAATTGTGGCTTCTAATAAGTGGTCAGTCATTGTCCAGATGCCACACCCACCACCCAGGGTCTGCAATATCTGGAAACCATAGGACACCAAGGGATTTATGTGACTTTATCAGAAAAACATGGCAACAGAGATTGAGTTTCAGTTTCTCAGATTGTTTTGAACCTGAAATCAAAGGAAGTGTGAATCCGAACAATCCAAAATTTTTAAAACAAGCCACTAAACCAAAGCCATAAAACTGTGCCCAGCTCTTGTTCTAAGGCTGTTAGGCAATAAGAGCTAGAGTGTGTGAAGAGGATGAAAAAGGAGAGGATGTTTTGCAGTCAGATATACTAACAGTGTGGGTATATAGGTGCATGAGGCTGTTTGAAAATTTTTCTTAACTGTTTCAGTAAGATATAATGAGCAGAAATTCGGAAAATAATGACTTCTTGTCTGCATTACTTCCCTATGATCCTGAGCCTCCTGGCTTGGATGTCCTTTAATCTAGGCTTCTATCTCGGTTTGGAAGGAGAAAGAAAGTGGTTCTAGAGGTCATCCCAATGTTACTTAAAGTGGTTCTAGAGGTCATCCCAATGTCACTTTTCTCTTCCCTTCCCTTCCCTTATTCAGTGGCGCTAAGGAGCCCCCACTGCACAGGGGTGTGGTTTCCCTTCCCTTCACTTCCCTTCCCTTCCCTTATTCAGTGGAGCTAAGGAGCCTCCACTGCACAGGGGTGTGGAGACTTTATTTGTAGACTCTCAGGGCTGTGTCCAGCAGAGCTGGAGAACACTGCTAGAAGATTTACCTGGTGGTGTACTAGGCTATACTAGAAGATTTGCCTGGTGTTGCTCAGGTCCTTAACTCAATTAATTTGTGTTTATCTTAAGCCATTAACACCTAAGTAAACTTTGTTTGAAATGGAATCATGCAAATGTCCTGGTGCACACCCATCCCACACAGCCTGCTTCCCTCCAACTCAGACAGAGAGGACTGCAGCTAGTCAGGGACACCCCCAAATAAACTCACCTATCACCTACATCTCACTGCACAGATGTCAGCACTCACCCATCCCTTTTCCCTGATATACCTCTGTGAAATCTGCTCCCCCCACCAATCCAGCTGGGGGCTAGGATAAAATCTTGCTTCTCAAACTAGCAATCTGTCCTGTTCTAACTCCAGCTAAAGCACAAATAGATTATTCACACCTTCCCACCTCACAGCACAAATTACCTCCACTTCCACCTCATCCAATATCAGCACCTACCCCATCCTCTCTTTTCCCCACCTACCTCATGCAGTCAGCCTTTTATCTCCCCCTCCCCAGGAGGCTTGAGAGTGCTAACTTTCTTCCTCTTTCTCCTCAAGCAAATGGGACTCTCCAAACTTCTCCCTCCCCGACTTCCCCTAAGCCAATTAATTCATTCATTCATTCCTCCCTCCCTCCTCCTCTTTCTCCTCCTTCCCACAGCCACTTATTCCCTTATCTCACTTTTTACCTGCTCTGGGAGCTGTTGAGTTTCAAGCACGTAGCAGCTCCATTTAGCTGCATGCTTGGCAAGACGGTGTCCCACTCCCCACCAGTCAGTTGAGCTCCCTGCCTGTGCGGGAGCTTTGAACTTCTAAGCAGAGCTCAGAAAATAGCTGCACAGTCGCCCAGCTGCACAGCTTGCAGGGAACTTAGGTCATGAGCCCCTCCTCTTCCTGAGCCCTCTTTCAACATTCACTCAGTTATGTCAATTTTGAGGACTGTACTTGATTTGGTGATTCTATCTCTTCCGCTTGGTTTTATGAGAAGCAATCCCATTCCAGGCACATCCTGTTTTCCTGCCATGACCAAACCCTTATGTTGCTTTAAGCGATGATAAGAGAAAGCTGCACACTGAATTTGGTTTGGTTATCCTAGTTATTACCATTTAGATGCAGTTCTCGAACAAACCAGAAAACACACAGACAAACTCAACTATCTCAGAGAGGTGGCATGAGACCTGAGTCTGTGAAAGGGAATTGACCTGGGTCTAGAGGTATGAGACCTGAGTCTGTGAAAGAGGATTGACCTGGGTCTAGAGGTGTGTGTGACAGGGTGTACCAGCCCCACCCTGAATTAATAGGGTTTAACCAGGTTACCCTGGCTGAAGGAGCCCTGTCAGGCATGCTCAGACTGTAGCTCAAGTATAAAAGCCTGGGGGAGAGGCTCAGTCTGAGCTGGCAGGCAGAGGAGAAGGACCTCCGGTTGAAGCTCCGCAGCAGCAGCAGCAGCCAGCCACCTGAGAGGAGAGCAGTGGATGCTCCAATGCCAGTTGAGACGTTACCTCGGCAGACCACCAGGGAAGGGTGGCCCCTTAGGAGTCAGAAGACCCAGCTAGAACGTGGGAATTCAGCCTGTTGGATCAGGTAGGACGTGGCCCAGGGAAGGTGCAGGAGTGGTCTCTCCCATCCAGAGATCCCTGCTGCGTTTAGGTTGGATTTGCTGCCGAGGGAGTGGTGGGCCATTCTGCCACTCACAGGGCCCTGGGCTTGGACCCGTTGGAGTAGGGTGGGCCTACATGGGCACAGGCCCGGTGACTGGCCATTGTGCTGTGCAGCCCTGTCTTCAAGGGCCAGTGATTGACTTTGTGTTACTGACTCTGGCCATTGGGCCGTACAGCCCCATCTTATAGGGGCTGGTGACCAACTTTGACTCACTGACTCTGGTCATTGGGCTGCCCAACACTGCTTCACAGGGCCTACAAGTGATTGAGCTTTACTGACTCCGGATACTGGATCATTCAGCCCTGCCTTAAAGGGCCAGTGTTAGACTGTGGTTTACTGCCTCTGCCATTGGGCTAGTGTTAGACTGTGGTTTACTGCCTCTGGCCATTGGGCTGTCCAGCCCCGAGGGGAGGGGCCAGACTACAGGTGGTTTACCGGTTACGCAGGGCATGCTGTGTTCTCATATAGCTCAGGGAAACAGGACCCTACCCCCCTGCAACAATGTGGAATTGGAGCAGGGAAAAAGCAGAGCCTGGGAAGGAGAAGTGGAGCTGCAGATTCTGGGAAGAAAAAAGGGATGTAGAATTGGGGCTGTAGAAAGAGAAACAAAGTTTAAGAATAACGTTGGATTTGGGAGGGATGAGGGGTGCAGATTCTGGGAAGAAAAAAGGGATGCAGAATTGGGGCTGTAGAAACAGAAACAAAGTTTAAGAAAAACGTTGGATTTGGGAGGGATGAGGGAAGGAGATGAGATTAGCAAGGATGGGGAAGACAGGAAGGAAGGGAGACTGAAGATGAGAAAATGTGAGATAAGCTAGCCATGAAAGGATATGGGGAAGGAGGAAGAATACTAAGCAAACAAAAGAGGAAGAAAGAAAATGAGGAAGAGAGAATAATGGACAGTGAAGAACATGAAGAGATCCAAGAGAAGGAATGGAAAAATAGGATGGAAGAGGAGTAAGAGCAGCATTACATGAAGTATCATGGTTTAGAATTTTTTAAAAAAATCATTCAATAGAAGGCTGAATGTCAAACATTTCAATACAATAAATATAGGGGATGTCCAGCAAATTCTCAATTGTTATCCAGCCAGATATTTTATGAAAAAACAGTTCAATAAAAAATAGCAGTGACTAAATTTTAAATCAAACATTTTCTGTAAGGGGGAACATTTCTGTAGTAAGTAACATGTATTCTCAATTCTGACCTTGCTGGCTAAAATTCCCAAGAGAAAATAAGAAATGTCAGTTTTGTAGAATGACGGCTTTTATACAGCTACAGTCAGTAATGCTTATGACCTGTATTTTCCACAAGTGTTTGCTTCAGTAATAACATCAGGAGATGGAAGAAATTTGTCTTAATTCAAGGAAGGCAGCTAATTTAATTTGATAGAAGAATGATTGCATTAGGTAGTTTAGACTTTTCCCTGAGCTGAAAGCCATGTTTATCTTTATTTTCAGTTGATGCAGATTTCAGCTATCAAACATTATGTGATAGTAAAAATCTATTGTTACATTAGTGCATGAGTTAAGGCAACAATTTAGCAGCAAATCTGACAATAATAATATAAAGTTGTGCATTCCTCAAACAGATCTAATTTATTATTTTAACGATAAATCAATATCAATATGATAATCTAGATGTATTCTAGTATTTTTGATATACCAGCTGATAAAGTGAAAATAATAGCAATCTTCCAAAAATATACAAGTGCTGTAGTCAGTCAATAAACTGTTAATTTATAAATGTAAGTATTAAAAACTTTCTTCCTTTACATAGACTTCAAGATTGTATTGAGTAAGGGAGTTGATCCTTTTGAATATCGGAATGTATTTTACACTGATGGGTCAAAGGCACATCGACATGGATGATCCCTAGCCTTTGATTAAGATACAGATGCTTTCACTGCATCCCACAGTAAGTATTTATAAAACCAGCAATAGGCCTACACTGTTTTTTCAAAATTTCAGTCTTTTAATAATAATGGACATCCACCTCACCCTTATTCACAGGGAATGAAATTAGTGCACATTGTAAGTTTATGTGGAAAAGCAATCCCATCTAATGATCATTTTAACTGACTAAATTAAATTGTATGTCTGTTCTCTTTGGACTTCCCAGAATAAAACCACTTTATTTCTATCTAGCAGGTGGCAATGCAAATTATTTTGCATATTAATTTTGCTTCTCCATTCAGATTTTGTTGATTTTTCAGTACAGCAACTTTTGACCATATTTGGACTCATTAGAGGGAGAATGACACAATTTAGGAGAATCATCACAGCAGACGCTTTTCAGAGCTTTGGCCAATTTCCATTCCAATATTCTGGTGTTGTGAATGTTAAGTGACAGGCTCCTCCACTCTCTCTTCTCCCTCACGGTTATTTAAATTTCAGTTTAAGTTTTTAAGTGAATACAGAGTTTCTGAAAAATGCCAGGTGTGACAATGTGGGAACTCAGCAAAATATGCACAGCATGACCCTTACGAGTGATGTCTTCCCAGGTGACATAGTACAATTTCCCAGCCTGGTTAGAGCAAAGATTGGCCTTTCTATTTATCTAGTGCAAGGGCTCGGTCCTATGTTTCATGCAGTAAAGTCAGTAGGAGTCTGGTTAAATGTGGAATGTGAGATTAGTCCCTTAGTCTCTAAATGTAATTATTGGAATACTGATGTTTTGTCTAGTAGAAGATAAAAGGAGATCACCCACCCACCTAGGAACACTGAACAATTAGAACTGGATTACCATACCATACCATACCAGCATCATACCATACTGACAACAGCAGGCTGTCTTGGAACCAGATACTTAAGTTACATGTTTCAGTGCCAATGGCTTTTCCAAAAATGTAGTGGAAAATAAAATAGTGTAATGATTTAGATCTTCGATATGTATTGCAATCTGCCTGTTACATTGGTAAACTGTTTTCAGGGCTGCTGTCCCTTCCTAATGACGTTCTCCTGATCTGAGGAACCTTTTTTTGTTGCTTTTGAAAAAATATTTATATTTTGTGCCATTAACTCTTCTAATTCATGCATAATCATAATGAAACAGTAGTTGGCCAAGAATTGCTCGATTTCGGCTCAGAATGCTATTGCAATTATCTCATTCATGGCTGAGATTAAAAAAAAATGCACAATTGCCTGTGTCTCCATCTTAAATGTAAATTCTATTATCATTTCCATCAATCTTCAGAATATCCCTTCTTTTGCAGTAGATATTTCAAAATATCTAATAATGATTTCATTGTCTCCTTTCTTCTCCTATTACAGAATACAGGAATGAATTGCATCTGAATCTGGGTTGTCAAATTGTAGGATGTTGTTTCTTGTTCTGACAGGATTGTGATTTTTTTCCCCTCCCCCTCTTTTTCCTCCCTTGGGAAATATGTCTGTTTCCAGCATATATCTTTCCTTCTGTGTGAACACAGAGCTGAAAAATCCATTTAATTTAAAGCAGGGATGTAGCAAGAATTCATTGCAGCTGGACACAAAATTCAATCTTAGATTTGCTTTATAAATAAACTTGCACTCCACTTTATTCTGCAGGAAATTCATCTGAAGAGTGCCTTGCCTTTTCACCTATTAACTGTGAATATTTAATGTGAATCAAGTAATTAAAAGGAGATATTCCCCTCTGTCGACTACAATTCCTCATAGAATCTTTCCTGTATCACACAACATTTCTCATTCTTTCTCACTCCCTCTCTTAACTGGTCTGTACAGTGTGGTTTTTGTTTGTTTGTTTGTTTTGGTGTGCTGTACAGTGTGGTTTTTGTTTGTTTGTTTATTTGTTTTGGTGTATCTATATTAGAATGTAACCTCTTCTGAGCAAGGACTATTTTCTTTCTTTTCCATGAACATTCAATGAGGATAAGGTTGCCAGGTATCTGGTTTTCAACCAGAATGCCTGGTTGAGAAGGGACTTTGCAGTTCCAGTCAGCACCTCCAGCTGGCCGTGAAAAGTCCGGTCCAGGGCTAAGGCAGGTTCCCAGCCTGCCTTGGCTCTGCTTGGCTCCTGGATGCAGTGGTATGTCCTTCTTCCTATGCATAGAGGCAGCCAGGGAGCTCTGCTCACTGACTCCCCAATGCAAGCACTGGCTCTGCAGCTCCCATTGACCAGGAACCATGGGGCAGCCCCTGCAGATAGGGCAGCACCCTGAGCCTCCTGGCCACACCTTTACCTAAGAGCCAGAGTGGCAGAAAATCACTACTTCTGGGAGATGCTTGAGGCAAGCACCACTTGGAGCTTGCTCCCTGACCCCCTCCTACACTTCAACCCCTGCCCCAGCCCAGAGCCCTCCTCCGCATCATGCACACTTTGAGTCCCCTGCCCAGACCCCCTCCCCCTGACCCCCTCCTACACTTCAACCCCTGCCCCAGCCCAGAGCCCCTCCTCCGCACCATGCACACTTTGAACCTCCTGCCCAGACCCTCTCTTGCGCTCCAAATTTCTCATCTGCAGTCCCACACCAGAGCCCTCAGCCCCAGACGGAGCCTTCAGCCTGATCCCCGCAGCCCAGCCCTCCCAAACCCTGATCCCCCTTCTGCCCTCTGAATCACTCAGTCCCAACCCAGAGCAATTTCCTACATCCCCAAACTCCTCATCCCACTGCAGAGTCTCTACCCTCAGCCAGAGTCCTCATCCCCCCATCTCTCTGTCCCACCTCAGACCTGTTCCTACACTCTGAACTCCTCAGCCTGGAGCCCCCCCTGCTGCACCCCAAATCCCCCATCTGGCCCCACACAAGAACCCACACCTCAAAACTAGAACCATCACCCACATACACTCCAAATCCCTGCCTCAGTCCGGTGAATTGACGAAGTGAGTAAGGGTAGAGAGAGCAAGACACAGAAGGATGTTGGGTGGGGGATGAAGAGAGGGAGAGGGTTGGGGCAAGGGTGTTTGGTTTTGTCTGAGTAGAAAGTTGACAACCCTGAAGGAGGATTATATTGTGACTAGCCTTTTTGTGGGGCACAAGTGAGAAGGTGTTATAAATCCCTATCTCAAGGACCAGTCAAAAATCATTACCTCTCCACTCTACATTGGCTATGGCGAGCAGAGGAAAATACATCACTAGTATAATGGCTGCATTCCCCTTTAGGTGGGTTGATTCTCCCTTACACTCAAGGCTAAGCCTCCAATGTGTAAACTGAGCTATAGATACTTCATTATAATTTGACTCATCTGCCATCATAATTTTACTGCAGAGACCTGATTAGTGACAGAAACAATTTTGGAACCCAGTATAGCCCAGATTTTCTTCTGTCTTAACAGTCGGTTAGTGAGCAGATAAACAATTTTATCTTAGAAGGTAAATGTTGCTCAATATTGCAAAATAACATGTACTAGTGATTGTTAAATCAAATTCTGTTAATACTAGACTGGATGGCATCTGATGCTAGACTCTTTGCATTTGACAAGTGTTCCTTGACTCCCCCAGTTTCTTTTATCCCACAAACAATTGTAGGTCCTTGAGGGCTAAATTCCTTCCTTGGATGTGTGTATATAATACCTAGTATAGCTTATGGGAGCTGTGCAGAGGCACTTCAGAGCAGAATTTGGACCTTTTTCGTATCTCCCATTTATCTTTATAAGTGTGGAACAACATCACCAATAATGACATGGTTGTGAGAGTAGATTTGAACTTCCTCTCTTGGCTTTGTATTACAAAGGACAAAAGCCTGTTGTTGAACCTACATATATAATGAGTGGGGGGGGGCTTTAGGGGGAAATTGAAAGAGAGATATATACTATGTATTTTGTAAGAATGTCCTTAGCAGATAACATTACTTTTATGGTAGGTCCAATTGTGGACATTTACTACCACAATTTAATAGTGCCAGTCAGGTGGAACTGCTACCTGTTTACCACAGTAACTGAGGCAGTGGTCACAGTTCTAAGTTTTTTTCCATCTCCTTCATCTAAACTACAAACTATGTGTAGCCTTCTTTTTCAGCAGTTCTACTGTGAGGACTTGAAGAGCTATGAATATTGGTACCTACAAATCCCCGTATTTTTTTATTTTTGGCTGGACAGTGAGGTCACATCCATACTTACCAGCAGATTGACATTCTAGAGGTTGATCTTTCAGTGTTCTATTTAGAGGGTTTAGACTCACTAAATCTAATGTTGAGGGTGCCCCCATCAACGCCAATACTCTTACTCCTCATGAGGAGCAGGGGAAGCTGATAGAAGAGTTTCTCCCATCGACCTCCCACTGTGGGGATGATGCCAAATTTCGAATCAAGTTACGTCGACTCCACTTATGCATAGGGATGCTAGTTATTATCGAATTGAATAGTTGATTCACTTAGCAGTTAGTCAACTATTCTATAGTCCTCAGGGGCAGGGCCGGCAGCCAGTGCAATCCAGCCCCACTCCTGGGGAGCCACCTGCCACCCTGCACTTCTGTCTATCAGAGGCAGCAGAATAGGGTACCAGGCGGGAGCCAATTCATGACAGGACCCAATTTTAAAACCAGCTCCCCTTGCAGATTGGCTGCCGGAGCGGCTCCCCTCATAGTCCAGTTGTGGACTAGTTGATAAAGACAGCAGTGGGGGGCGGGGTGAGCAGAGGGCATGTGGCAACAGGTTCCCCCCAGCACTGGCTCCTGCTTCTCCCCACTCCCTGCTGCCTCTGTTACAGAGGCAGCAAGGGGGGAAATGCGAGTAGCCAACTAGATTAACTGATAAGCCTAGGTTTATCGGTTAATTGACTAGTTGACTCCTCATTCACATCGCTAGCTATGCAATTAACATAGCTGGAGTTGCATATCTTAATTTGAACTTATCCCCAAGTGTAGACCTGGCCTGGGAAACTTCAAAATTCGCGGCTGCAAGTCCTGTTTTGAGACCTCTAGGCCAGGAGTAGGCAATAAGTGGCACTTTTTCAGTGGAATACAGCAAATGAACTGG